AAACAGTATATAATTATCACAGATGATTTATTATGTACTAGAAAACATATTTTTAAACAAAGACATAACAATGACAATGAACCATTTTCCGAAAAACAAAGATCAAGTAAAGTAGAAACATGCATGTATACATAACTTTCAATATTTTTTCCATTGAATTTCACTTTTTGTATATAAAAATAATATCATTCAATTTTAACGACGTATAACAATACAACAACCTACTAATAACATATTAAATAGTATGAAGATGTAACACCCCCGTTCTAAAAAAATATATCTTCCATATGTATCTATAATATACTGAAATATATGCCCCTAGGATAACGAGAATTTTGACTATTTATGGAGTTGTACTACAGGTTTGTGTGCGATTTAAACTATCACTATATCCATTTTAACTTTTGAAAACAAGAACTACTATCCATTTATGTTGTTAACTGTGGATAAAATAAAGTTGATAATTCAATGTCAGATATTTCTATGTAACAAAAAAAAAAAAAAAAAAAACAAAACAAAAAAAAAAAAACATCGTGATTATCATTTTACCTTTCAGTTTCATGATTATCTATAATCTACTATAATATTATCATAACTTAAGACGTGGAACAAACAAGAAAAGCAACATGAGAAGTCTTAATTTAATAGTAATCTTATAAATTCTAGTGAGTTATTGATAACAATGTCAAGATGTTTTTTTGTAATAAAACTAACGACATGTGAATCAATCTCTTAACAAATGTTCTCAAAGTTAAACAAGCAGACAAAATACAACGACATGTTTTTTTCAATTACTAGCAATATAGTACGTTGACATTATTTCTCGCTCCGCTTCAGTATCACAATTCTAAACGTTCGCATATACAACATTCTTATATCACGTTAAAAGCATGTTAAGTTAAAACAAAACTTAATCTAACTAATGGTTTTAGTGTTAACGGGTGATCTCAAAGTGACCAAAATAAAGTACTACAGTGTACATAAATGAACTTTAAAGGTACCATAATTGGTAATTGTTTTTGCGAAACATGCCAGCAGACACACAATAGAACAGAAATACATTATTCTCTGTCAGATCAAAATTTATCTAGTTTTAAAATGGCGAATCATTAGTACTATTCTAATAATCTTATATGTAATGAAATGGCTAAATCAATAAAAGTACGTTTCATAATAAAGTTTGACACCAACGATTAAAATAATATATTCGAAGCAATTACTTTACATAAGAATTCCTCGATAAATATTTAGTTCATGTTCAGTGACATGCAAAGTCTTCTTCCCGGAATTATTTAGTTAGCTAATGAAGATTTGTAATGTGTTCCACTATAATTATTATTATATTCATTGATCAATACTGGCAATATATCAATAGTTAAATCAAAAATGTAACTAATAGATTGATAAGCTTGGCAGGCCGATAAGAAAAAGCCAAAGACAAAACTACTGAATTCTGTATCAATTCGTCAGGTGTTAATTACTGCCATTTAGAATTGATGACAATAGCACAACATGCTGTTGTAAATAACATAATTATCCTTATTTAAAAATTTGACATCATATTTTCAATAATATGACCAATATGTTGTAAACTATGTGATCCAATTTAAATAAGACTTCAAAGATCGATAAAGTTATTTAAACAATAAATGCATTTAAAAGATTTTTGAAATATTAAGCTATGTCCATATTTAAAGCTTGCTAGGGAACATGCAAAGTCATGAGTCAATCATTCAATGATGATATGCGACACTATTTCAATCTGATTAATCAAACCTCATGCGACTTTATTGATTAAACATGAAAATACTACTCTAATTACACCTAACGTAGAAGTTTTTCTATATAGCCTAATGCGACGTCACGTGGTGTTTTTTTTCGATTTGTCATCTTTAAAATAAATACCACCCAGTCAATAGTGTTAGTGGCGGCGTGGCCGAGTAGTTAACGCGTCGCTAGCAATCTAAGGATTGCTGACCGCGTGGGTTCAAACCCTGTCAGGGGCAAGCCGTTGTGTCCTTGAGCATTCATTGCTTAGTACTTGTTGGTTCCAGGAACGAATTCGAGAGTGTTTCAATAAGCTTATAGCTTCCAACACAATTGAACTAAAATAAATTTGTATAAACTAATAGTATTTGCAATACTACGAATGGGCAAGTTATCTATATAGATGTATAAAGCGTCATGCAATACAGGCTAGCTGACCAAACGTTTTTAATTCGAAAAATAAATGGTTGTTACAGTTTCATGTTGTTTTATTAAATTGTTAACTTGGAAACTTTCACTGCTTCTTAGTATGCTTCTTCATTTGGTAAACATTATATATGGTTTAATAAAATTATATGAGCTGAGTCAGGGTGAGCTTTTAGGATCGTTTAATAACCGTCATCCGTTAACATTTAGTTCTGAAACACTCCAGTGGTAACTTTTTTGCCCCAATCGTCATCAAACATGGTCATGATGTTTGTTTAAATGAATTTGAACATGAGGCATCGCTGATAAAAAAGGATATGTCACAGGTGCAAAAAATAGAAAAAAAATGTTAACACTCTAGTATCTATCATTTTGACCCAAATATCCTGGTCAAGTTTAAATATGGGTCACTTGGGTTCAAAAGCAGGTCACACAGTTCAAATATTGAAAAAACCTTGTAAATACTCTAGAGCCTACTGTTTGTTTCAATTATTTTGGAAATTTATCAGAAATGATGTTGGGATGATTTTTATGTCAATTTGGAATATGGGTAAGCTTGAGTACAAAAACTAGGTCACAAAGTCCAAATATGAAAAAATGTTAACACTTCAGAAGAGGCTACTGTTTTAATTCAGATATCCTGGAAATTGGTAAGAAAGGTTGTTTTGTTTATTTCTTAGTCAGGTCTGAATATGAGTTACCTAGGGTCGAATACTAGCCCGCTTAGCTCCAATATGGATATCTATTTAACAATCTAGAGACTAGTGTTTTGATCCAATCCTGAAAACATGGAAAGTGGTAAGAAAGGTTGTCTTGATTATTTCTAGGTCAGTTATAAATATGGCTCCCTTGGGTTCAAAAACAAGGTCTTACAACCGAAATATGGAAAATTAGGGGGTGCTGTTTATGTCTAAATATCCTAGAACATTGTCAGAAAGGTTGTTTTGATGGTTTCTATGAAATTTAAATATGGGTTACCTGAGGTCCAAAACACTAGGTCACTGATCCAAAATATGTAAAAAAAGACTTGTTTACGCTCTAGAGGCAACTAATTTGATTTAAACATCATGGAAATTGATCAGATAGGTTGTTTTGGTGATTTCTATGTCAGATTCGAATAAGGGTCATCTGAGGTTAAAAACTAGGTCACACATGCCATATATATTAACATCTTGTTAACACATTAGGGGTTAGTGTTTCAGCCTAATTTTCCTGGAAATGGTAAGAGAGGTTGTTAAAATTATTTCAAGGTCAAGTTCGAATATGGGTCACTTGGGGTCAAAACCTAGGTCACATAGCCAAAATATGTAAAAGTCTTATTGTTTACACTCTAGAGGGCCTTGATTTGATTCAAACATCCTGGACATTATTCAAAAAGGTCGCTTTGTTGTCATCTTAGTCAGGTTTGAATATTGGTCATCTATGGTCAAAAACAAGGTCGCACAGACGAAATATGTTACAACCTTGTTATCACACCATGTATAATATTTCATATCATTTTTTTCTTGAAATGGTCATAAAGGTTGTTACAATGATTTCAATGTTAAGTTCGAATATGGGTCGTTTGGGGTCACAATCTAGGTCACAGTTTTCAAATATGTAAAAGCCTTGTTTAAACTCTAGCGGATACTGTTCCAGTCCACATTTTATGGCAATTGGGATTGAACCTTCATAATTAGGTGAACAATAATTTTCAAATTTCGGAGAAAAAATGACCACTTCGGCGTTATAGACTTGTACGATTGAGCCACACGAACATTGCAGTGCTCCCTTGTAGGTTTAGAAAATAATAAGAGCGGAAGCTTTGTTTTTGTACATGAAACATTATCTAGTGGACCTCTTCCGAGTTTATTCACATTATAGCCCATGGGTAAAAACTTGCTCCACCCCCAGAAAAAAATTTACTTTTCATTTTATAGTAAATACTTATAAATAGTTTATGTTAAATCAACTAGGGCTACATCTTAAATATTTAGTATGAAACATTGTCTAGTAGACATCCCAAAAACTGTTGAAATAATAACCGCTTTTGGGTCAAAATTGGCCCTGCCCCGGGTTTTATATATGTTTATATAGTTGAATTCCGGATATCTTTTTCTGAAACCATGAAGGTTTAAGCTTATATATTTGGCATGAAACATTATCTGGTGGCGCAGCAAAAATATTTAAATTAAAGCCCTTTGGTCAAATTTGGTCCAAGCAGTGACAGTGAATAAAGTCTAAAGCCATCTTAGGAATGGTTAACAATTTAATACAATCGTGGGGTAGGGTAACAGTTTTGTTTCATCTTTCAAACATTTAGAGAAGAAATAATCATTTTGCTTAATGCTGTTTGTGGACTTAAATGTACTATTTATTTTGGTTATCATTAATTTTGGAAATTTTGTTTACACAAAACATGTCGACCTCGCAATGTTAAGGTAACTTTTCACATTCGACGAAGATAGATGGCTTAATATTTTTAACGGTTTCTGAAATATATATCTATTGTGCCATGTTTGCATGTTTAAGTATGAAAATTTGATTATATTAAAAAATTGCGAGAGCAAACTGTTGACCGTGTATCGGGTATACGCTAAGAAGAGTTATACTTAAATGGTGCTGGATAGTAATTTTTTTCTTGATAATCAAACGATTTTTTGATAATTTGACCATTATTGGCATGACAATGTGCCGAACGCATGTGTACTAAATTTACACCACGCATGCTTATGTTATTGAAATATAACTTCTTGCGCAGTTACTTGAAAAGGTTATTATTAATATTTGATTGAAACTGTTGTATCATTTTTTTCAGGACCTGTTCGGTAATGAATTTCTAAATTATGACATTTACCATAAAGCTTTATCTGAAGGTTTCGAAAATGATAAATCCATTCGAGTAAATGTTGTTGGAAATTTTGCCCAAGGCAAGACATCATTGACCAATATTATTGTTGGAAAAGAATCAGAGAGCGTCCAGAGTACCAATGGTATTGAAATAAATCACTGCAAATACTCTACTGCTAACGCAGATATCAAGTTCTGTTCACAAAGATCTTCATCTGACGACAATGGGTTCTACAGGCGTATTGCGTCATTGGTACAAATGAAGGAAGTCGAGAACAAATCTAAACAAAGTACAGATAATTCAAAATGTAACAAATTAAAAGAAAATTGTTCAGCTTTGCACGAAAACATCATACAGACAGCAGTAACGAAAGACAGTAAAAATACCTTTCTAAAATCACATGATTATTTTGAAGTTTTAAGGCTACTCAGAACGAATCAATTTGAGCAGTTAAATACTGATGGCGATCTACAGTTCTGGGATTTTGGGGGTCAGTTTATCTTTTACGCAACACATACTTTATTTCACAGCAAGACTTCTGTTTATATCATGGTTTTCGATTTAACCAAACCGTTATCGGATGTTATAGAGGATCCTGAATTCCCAAACGAATCTATAGGAAAAAGCATACAGCAGTGTGCAGAATACTGGATGAGATCTATACATACTTACGTTGGATCCGACGATGGTTTACAGCCTCCAGTCATTCTTGTAGGTACTCATAAAGACTTACTAAAGGGCGATGAAAGCATAAGGCAGAAATTTGCAGACGATTATTTTGATGAAATAAGGAAGCTTTTCGAAAATACGCCAATTATAAATCACATTCAGGTGAAGGATTTCGCTGTCGATTGCACCAATCCTTACGACAGTATTATTGTTGAACTGCGTCAGGAAATCATACGTCTTGGTTCTACTTTACATGGAATCCCTATTCCTGCAAGATGGCTACCTCTTGAAAAAAAAATGCTTGCCAAGAAACATAAAAAAATAATTCTGTATAGCGAAGTTGAGGATATTGATGCACAAAGCGAGTTTCCGCTAAGAGACAAAGAACAAATAAAAGTGTTTATCCTCTATCAACATGCAAAAGGTAACTTGGTTTACTTCGACGAAGAGCCGCTGTCAACATACGTTGCTCTGGACCCGCAGTATGTAATTGACGCATTTAGATGTTTAATCACGTCAGAGAGATTCATAAAAAAAGATCCAATATATCGTCCTTTTTGGAACACTCTTAGACAGGAAGCAAAGTTAGAAATGCAATTGCTTGAGAGAGTTTGGAGTACCGATGATCAAAACAACTTTCTGGTTCACAAAAACGTGCTGGTGATGTTGTTGCAAAGGCATCATATCATTTCCGAAGCCTTGAGTTATGACGACAAAACAGAGGAAACTAAAGGACTAGGGTGGTATATTGTACCAAGCTTTCTCCGCACACACAGTGCTAATGATGCTGTAAAGGCATTCCTCACTGGAAGACAGAAGACTTTGGTAAAGTTTGTTATGTCCTTTAACATCACTCCAGTTGTGCAAATAGTTTATTATCGGGTCATCGCAGCTTTGGTTGGAAAATGGGAAATGGTTTCCATTAAAATGCCTGAGCGAGAGAAGCAGGTATTGTTGTATGACAATCTAGGAATGTTTAAACTTGAGCGTCACCATGTCGGAATAGTTGAACTTCATCAAGGTTTCATTGATTTACATGTCCTTAACCTTTGTAATTCGGGCATTGATGCTGCTATTGTCGACTTGTTTCGACGGTTTGTGGAATCAAACGTCATGAACGAATTTAGGAAACATAGGCAGTTGGCAACAAAACAAAGAAACCTTTTTGAGATATGTTTTAAGTGCAACGATGAAAGTCACAGCTTTGATGGAAGTCAACAGACATTGTCATTGCAAGTACTTAGAGGAACAACGGTTGAACCTTGCCCAGATATGATGAGTGGCCATACAATAAACACACGAAAGGCATATTATGAATGGTTTCCAGATGACCTGAACATAGGATTGAAAACTGCCTATACGTTAAAAGAAAGAGACCTCAGCAAACTTTCTACAACAGTAGGAGAAAATTGGGAAAAGCTTGGTATCGAACTTGGTTTACGCACCGTTCAACTACAACACATAACATTGGACTACCCACGAACAGGGATGAGGATATTTAAGATGCTACAGGAATGGACAGATCAGAGGCCAGGCGATGCCACACTAAATACACTAATTAAAGCCATGAAATCAGCAAAGGACGTATCAATTGACTGGGATGAGGTTAGGAACATAGTCGAAGATATAGCGTCCAAAAATAACATCAGACTAGCGAAGAAGACAAGTAAGAATATATTTATTTGCCAGGACAAGTTTCGAAAAAATTGTAAATACTTATTGATCGAATAAGCAAAACAGATATTTGTTTCCGGAAAATAAATCTGTTGATGATCTAATAAAAATCATACTCACTTATTTTAAGAAAATTTTGATTCTCAATGTTCTTTTGGGTTTTTTTTCTGTTGTTTTTTTTTTTTTTTTTTTTTTGTTTTTGTTTCATCTGTAGACATAAAAAAGTTCTTATAATTCTTATAATTTTGATGTAATCACCTAATTTTTTTCAGTTTCGTATTATTTATTGTTTTCCTTTCTATTAAAGGCACTTCACATGAAATATAAGAGACAAAATATGACAATGACTCCGTTTCTGAGATGAGCAGAAAAGTCGTCCTGTATCTTATTTGAATAAAAGAAACAACACCTAAAAACATAACATTTAAACATTGAAAAAATAACAAGTGTTACATTACAGAAGAATCTGGAAAAGAACAATAACAAGATCATATTTGACAAAAGGTATATAAACATATAATAAAGACTTGGAAACATAACATTTTAACGAAAGTTCTTTGTTTTTAAACAGTATATCAACAAAAAACAAGAGAAACACGTTGGCATCGTTAATAGTAATATTGCAGAGTCATTATTTCCTTTGTTATCATTACAATAAACTTTGAATGGAAAGTACCTAGAAACACAAGTGTGTATCTACAATAAGGTAATTAGATTGCAGTGTCCTTTGATTAATGCATTATTTAAATAATAAAACATTGTTTGTTTTCTATTGTTACAAACTGTGAACGACACAAGATGTGTAGTCAATTTGCGAGTATGTGAAAATAGCTTCTTAATCGTTATTCCTTAAACTTTCGCCACTATGTGAAATACTGTAAATCGTAGAACAAAATTGATGTGTGATAAACTTATTACACTGTGCTCCTCTTAGTACTAACCGCTTCGAAGACAGAAAACAACAAATACAACTTATGGTACACAAATTGTCATAAGCTGTAACATATAGGTATTTGCAGCTGTATGACACAAGGGAACACCAATACATTCAGTCGAAAATATATTTAATGGGCCTGACGTAGACCATAAGTCGGCCATTTCGAAAACAGATTGTCATCATTTAAATCGCGGTAAATTGTGTTACACTTCAGTTGTTTTTTTCATGTGTCATCTTAAATGTCTACCTGTTTATTATTAGTTTATTTAAATATTATTGACATCTTTTATTTATTACTCTAATTTTCTTTGTTGACAAACAGGAACATTTGGAAACGATGTTTGTTTCAGAAATATGCATATTTTTCAACGGACTATGATGACTTTTTGCTGAAATTTGTAAAAGGTTGTTATGTTTTACAAAAACATAAATAGATTTTAAGATATTTTGTATTTTGCACAAAAATTGATCAGGTAGAATACAATGTGTCAATTTTGATCATTTTTACACTATTCTAATGGAAATATAACATTACCGTGAAATAAATGATGACGCGGAATTAGTTATGTTGAGTATACACGTAAAAAAATTCTTTTCTTTATTTTTTTTCCTTTATGTGTTTTTAGAATACACATTTTGTATAGACCGACAGCTTTACAACATATGAAATATTTTGATATATTATTTTGATATGTTTTTTTGAAAATAACATTGTTGCACATTTAGCCGTTTTTATATTTATTTTCTCACAAAACACTTATTTAAGATTGTTTTTATCATGGCGTGTGTATGAATATTTAAAGACATATTTAGCTATGAATGACATTAAATGTTGCAGCACCATGCCTCCAGAATCATGCTAGTTTTCATGAAAATTCTGTAAATGTTTATTATGAAGAAAGTATTTGAAGAGAACAAGGACATTATTTTACACGTACACAGGGTAAAATAAGGCAGGAAAAGCCCTTACTGCTTTACTTTCGCAGCAGAATGTAATAAATACAAAAAACGGTCATTTTGTTAGCAGTTTTAAGTACTTTTCAAAAGCTTATACTTTTTTTAAGTTTTATTTTTTTAAATTATTTTGGGTAATTGAGACTGCACTTTATTGTTTTGAAATTTACATTTTAGTTTTTAATTTGATAGACGTGGGCTTTTATAATTTAATATCATTTTTTTCTTACCTGTTATTGATGTACTCAGTGTACATCACTTAAATCACATATCAGATAAATAAACCTCAAAATAAGTCTTTAATTTTTATGATTGTATCGTTTGTCAATAAATTACTAACTAGATTCTGTATATCTTTTGAAATCTAAAGAAATAATGTACCTCGGCTTATGTTTTTATGAGTGAAGAATACTAAGGGTATCATTCAATGTTGGCGAGTGAAGAAACGTGTCAAAAGAATTCCTTCTTTTTTCAGCTTCATTAAATATATTATTGTTAAATAATTTCAAACAAGGACTGTAACAGTTTACATTATATAAAGTCATCAACTAATGAAATGACTAGTCAAATTTTTTGAGATTCAATATTTAAAATCGCGACCCATGCAGACAGTGTAGCAAGTATAGAACCTAGCACATCTGCAACACTTAACCCATTGCTTCATGAGCATTTTGTGAAAAATGGCTGTTTTCATTGAAAAGTCTCCCGTTACAAGTTCAAATTGCTATAATACTATAAAAACTGCTTCAACACTAATCAAACTTGGCACAAATGTTGACTAGACCATTGCCCTTGCAACAACATGCTCAGGCTTAAATTTTCTGCTACCATGGCAACGAGGGGACATCTCAAAATTGCCAAAAATCACTATTTTGCGTTGATTTTTTCCATCAAAATTGATTTCAAAGTGCTGCAACTTCTCAATGGATTGAGATAGAGTCAAATGCTTTTCAGCGTTGGTTACACGTTACCTTATGATCAATCTGGGGTCATTTACAGCCTCTCACAAGTCCAAAATTTTCTTGGCGATGAGGGGGACTCCGCCCCCCTTCAAAGCCCCCAAACAGAAGGGGGCACATCCCCCTTCTGGCAACCCCCTGATGTATCTTTTGGTTGGGGGGCCGCGCCGAAAAAGAGGTCACTTTTTTAACAACATTTCTCAAACAAAAACAAGTGTTTGGGGCCTAAATAAGGCATTTTTCATCATTTGAGACAACAAAAAGGGGGGGGGGGTGAAAAAGGCGTTAAAAGGCGTGTATATGAAGTAATGGGTTAAGACAGAAAAAATGTAAACAAACTATTTGATGTCATATATGCAATATAAGCTTTGTTTGTATAATGATTTATAAACGCTATTGTATGTCTTGAATGCACTGTTTATTTTGATAATTTATTTTTTCTTAATGTATGTACTCAACACACTGTTAATTTTAATGATTTGTCTTCCTAAATTAATGTACTCAACTTTCTTAAAATATGATAGTTTGTTTATGACAATGTATGTCCTTAACTAACTTTTAACTATTGTGATTTATTAATGCTAATTTATAGGACTCCACAGAGATATTTTATTATGACGAGACTTTAAATTTTTTTTCGTGAATAATGGTTCATTTGATATAGGTCTAGAGCAATAAAATTTATGTATAATTATATGTTATTCTGTTTGCCAGAATAGTGATTCATACTATTAAAAATGATCCAAAACTGAAAAACGTCCCAGCGCTTTTCACTCAAGTCAGGCTAAAAATCATAAGCATATGATTTTTAAATTATATAAAGTATATTTCAGTGAAAGTCATTAATGAACTCAAAGCTTTGTTTATTTTTATGATTTGTTTAATAAGTTGATATATGAAAATAAGTGTAATCAAAGCTCTGGAGATATTGACCTCCTAGTGGGGCGGGAAATTGAGAAAATAGTGCAAATTGTGATACATGCATGAAACTTTCAGGAAATCATCTTTAGACCATGTAGATTTCAAAAGTGAAGTGGGCCCAAAAATATCTCTGCTCATTCAAGATGGCCGCCATTTTCAAAATGGCCGCCATATAAATTTGACGCACATTCTAGCTCATTCATTTCAATTATTTGTACAGACCTTTAACTAACACCAAAAGCATGAATATACTTTCTCCTTTTCAAAAATTTAAATCTCACAAAATTTCTCATTCATACTTCTTCAAAATCCAAGATGGCGTCCAATATGGTCGTCGATTTTTTGCAAAACTGTTATATCATTTTTATAGTATAATTTGTTGCACAAAATATGTTTATTATAATAAAAAAAAAGTGTTTAAACATATCAGAGATAATCATATTAATGTTAATCTCAATAAAAGTAAACATTTTAAAAGTTTTTGTCTAAAAATATCTTTAAAAAAGATAAAAAAAAATCCAATTTTTTCATATTTTTCAAATTTGATTTTCTAAATTAATGTACACAGTTTAAAAAAGTTACTTTATATCTTAAACTGTATTTTACATTCCATTAATACAATGTGTTTATTGTAAAAAATGTAAGAAAAGCATTAAATCTGTAGGTTTTATATTTTGTGAAAGTGGGTGGGGTAATTTTATATGATAATTGTGAAAGAAAAAACAACAGAAAATATACATAGCTAAGTTCATTCCATTTCTTTGCCTTTTAGTTTTTTATTAATTCTTATGCAAATGTTCCAACTTAAAAAGTACTTTTTATTGGATGAAAATATTGTTGTCTTCCTTCGAGCCATTTAGTGTGTGAGCAAGAAATGCACATACAAACATGTGTATACATTCAGTTATTAAATTTGGTTGCATGATAATTCTTGTTTCAATATATTTGATATCATATATTAATTGTTAATTGTAAAGACATATAAGAAGACAATAAATCAACTAAACGTGCTTAGAATAGCAAACATGTACATGAATGTAAGGTATAAAGGTAGTCCAATTTTATATTTATAATATAAACATGGCTTAAAAGTCAACAAATTGTATGTGATGTGAAGGATATGGCCTGCATGCGGCTTTTTAAAAAGTTAAGATACAAACTAAGTGTATTTCCTAAAGTAATCATATCTTATTTTTTTCTTTCAATAAGAGGGTTTAATGATGACCCTGGATCACTCACCTACGATCATTGTTGGAAAAAAGGTAACAAGATCATATTGGGCGTGTCAGTTATGTCATAACACACATGATTTGTGTCATAATTGAATCCGGTTGCTTTTAAAGAAACATACTCAATGTCTTGTTTCAATTTTTATTCACACGAGAGGACTTTAATAACCATATTTATTATATACGAGTCCATATAAACTTAGTGACCTCTAGTGTTTGGTAAATTTGGACCATGTTGTCCATGATATATCATTATTATAACATAATTATGATGATACATGATTAATGTATATGCGTCGGATACTATAGGTTAAGAGAAAACAGATTTATTTCAGTAGTCTTTGTAAATTAAGTGATACCATTGCAAAACCATTTTAGACTGCAGTAGCATCATACAAATTTATGCATGTTATATCAGTCTACATCCCAAATATCTTAGTTCAAGTCATTATATTTTAAC